CATAGTAATAAATTATTAATATCAAAAATGTATTTGTGTTTTTTCTTTTTACATATTTTGTTAAAAGAGCAAATAAGGAATTCAAACCAAAAAAAAGTAATTTTCTGTTTTGTTTTATTCTTAGATCCGGCTTTAAAGGGTTAACGTTATCGTCATTCACTACGATAACCGGCAACAATTTTCCAATGTTGGTAAAAAGAAACTTAATTCTGCTGTTTTTCCTGTGTGGGAGGGTGGCTGGTATTTCCTTCCCAACGTTGCATTTTCAAATTCTCCCGGGTGGTGCATGACCGAGTGAATAACGTGAATGTGATTGGTCGTTTATCAAGGCGGCGGGGTTTTTGTGGCGGAAGGTTTGCAAGCAAGTTTGGTTGTGGCTGTTTTGTCGGAAGCATCTTGCTAACCAGTTAGCAACTTAGTGCTAGTAGGTTCCCAATGGGAAATTACATAGGGACCAAGTAGCACTAAATTGGTGACTTAAGCCCGGCGTATACTGTGCTATTTTCAGGGCGATTTTCCAGTCGTGCGAGAATTTTTAAATCGGGCCGACTTTCAGCCTGATAGTGCGTCATGGGTCATGTAGTGAACAGGGGGTTACGAGCGGCGATTAGCCTCTCCATCAGGAATCAGGAGGTAGAGAGAATATCAAACATGTTTGAATTTCTCCCGATTGTCGTGGACAAATCTCTCAGGGCGCAAAGAAGGATTCTGCTTTTTATTCCTCCTCTCAGATGTAAACACAGCAGTCTGGCAGGGATGCAATGATTTAAATGCAGCTCCGTCTGCAAAATTGCCGGACCGCAGCAGCCACGCCTGCTCAGCCACGTCCTTTTTCCAAATACGTCGTCGCCCTTTCTTTATAGGACCAGCAGCACAAAATTGTAAATATTCACCATAGTGAGCTTAATATTCTATTTGTTTGGCTTCAGGATAGAGAGCTACAGAGCAGCTCCATCTCACTGCGGAGCTGAGTCCGACGTGGTTTTTAGTCGTACAGTGTGAGCAGGTAGATCGCATCAGAGCATAAGGTCAAGCATAAATTGGGAGCTGTGAGCTCACACTGTATGACTAAACCCTGCGTTTAATCGTACAGTGTGAGCAGCAGATACGTGCAAGGATTGAAAAAAATCGCACATTGTACGCCAGGCTTTAAAAACGACACTGTCAAGGAACGCTATGGACAGAGAAAACATGCAAGAGGAGGAGAGTTTAGTGTCGGAGGTCGTGGATGAGTCTCCTCCGTCATCCATTTTTTATTTAGAGGAGGAAAGCGGGGACGAAGATGTTGTGGAAGAGGACGCCAGGGCGGCAGAAGCTTGGTTTGGTGTAGAAGGCTTCCAGCCGTACATGTTTGAGCCCTTGCCTCGCAACGCTGCCAGTTCTGTTAGCTCTACGCCTGCTGAAGACACAGACGTCCATCCCCAGTGTTCAATGGGAAAGGAAAGGATTCTGATTTCAACCGTTGCGTATATTAGCTGCGACATATGGATCAAGATGCTATGACCGAAAAAATATGATTGACAGATGACCATCGATATATATGATTGGCCGAATTTTGGTGTTCAGGCTGACGTAGAAATAACTGGCCTGCAGAAGATAATGAAAAAAAACAGATTTTAAGACCAAATTTCTTTTTTTTTTTATAGAAATTTTCTAAATTTTGGGACAATATAGTCTGATAAAGAGAACATTTATAAACAGGTTTAAGCCAGAATGATTTGACATTTAAATATGACATCCTTACGACATTCAGACGCTGCAGCATGTGTTTAATCACGTGACGCCACCGATCCAGGCAGAGGCGTAAACAAAGATAATGGTGGATGAGCCCAGTGAAGAAGCGTCTAACAACTGTAAATGAAATTACATCCGTTAATCCCATGGAGCCGAGCGAGAGCAGAGATGAAGCCGAGCTGAGAGAAGAAGTGGAGAGCTCGCTATCAGAGTTGAGCGCATGGCAGACTGGTTTTGAGTGAGGGTGTGCGAGTTTAAACGATGCGCATTGTTCTCACTGCACGCTCATTTCGGTTGCATTAAAAATTATGCCATAGATGTTGAGCAAATTAACACGAAATGCAAAGTTTGTCTGAAAAGAGTCAGGACTACCCAAAGTAACACAACCAACCTCCATCACCTGCAGCGCAGCCAAGCTGCTGATTTTAAACTGAATGGGTAGAAGACTTTACTATTTAGTTGCATTTCCTGAACATGCCTTTATTACTGATAGAGAAGCCGGAGCATTTGTTCGACTTGATACAGATGTGCTTGTATCTTTAAAATCTTTATATTTAAAGCAGCGTCACTAAAGCGATCTGTAATGGGACGAACCGTGTTTACATTTAGATCGGTGAGATGCTGAAACGTCTGACAGATGACTGACCTGATGGTGGTGGACCCACCAGGCACTGGTGATAATCTTGGCGTCCCAAGCAGCGCTGTAGCACACAGCCATGGTGCCAGCCTCTGTCAGAGTGCGGGGAGGAACGGGATCCCCTAAGGAGACAGACAGCTCAGAGCAAAACGTTGATCAGGTAAGATATTGAAAAAGGGAGCTGCAGAATACCTGAGGGGTTCTTGATGACGCAGCTAGTTGCTCCATGTAGATCCGCGTGGACATAGATATCACCTGGAGGAGAGGAGGCACAGGCTGAGCCACGTCTTTTCAAACTTAGCTGGTGCAAATTATTTTCCTGAAAGCAGGAACTGCAGCGTGCAGCTTCCAGGGTCCTACCTGCGCGAAGGTAGCGTTTAACGATCATCTCGTTCTGCTGCTGGTCCCTGCCAGCAATGACCAGATAGTTCTCAGAGCTGATGAACCACAGGAACTTCTCAAACCTGTAAACATAAAAGGAGGACTTAAAGAAGCTGTTTTTTAACCATATGGTGAAAATATTCACACCTCTATTTTAAACAAAGTGGTCAACTTAAACAGGACACCAGTAAACTCCAGAAGGCTGCTGGTTACACCGGATTTTATCAAAGGAAAAGTCTGATCATATTCAGAACTGAAACTTCTGAAAGTACTTTAAATATGAAATTATTACATACTGCTCAATAAATACGTGTTTTAA